ACTTTCTTTAAACCTTATATGACATTTGGCTTGCAATTCCACCATGAACTGATTTTAATAAGAAAGTGACATTCACACGCAGAAGCCGTTACTGGGTCAATTTTTATAACAAATTAGTTCATAGACCTCAAAAACCAAAAAAAGATGGTGTATTAAAATACTTATTCCCTTGCGTATTATGAAGTCCAGCCAATTTTTACATTATATTACCAGGTATTGAGGTCATAGTTTTTCATTATTGCCTCATTTTCAAAAGAAGGCCTACTTACTAACTGCACTGAGAGGCCAACTATCATCTCAATACCGACCTATTTGTATGAAAAGTTTTGAGGGCTCTTATGCAGTTATTTTCTTAAAGAAATTTATAATTTGTCAATCATATAGTCCCAAAAGAATGTTTATTTTAAAAATAAGCTTAATCTAAAAAATTATAGAACTATCTTAGTGAAAAAGAACCTTTTTATGGTGAACTAATTTGACTAAAATATGCATATTTTAAATTACAGATCTAGAAAATAACAAGAGAAAATTTTGTCACTGTACAGAAAGGAATATGGTATATAACTCAGATTTTACTGATACACAATACTATTTGCTATACTCAAGGGTAGAGCTAGCCTATAGTTTAAAGAAGGATATTACTAGACAAAATGGCCTTATTTTAAAATGGCTTTACTAGGAGAGGCCCCAAATGTGGACCCTATAAACAGTGTTATGGGCATATACTCATACTCTAAATTTTTTTCCTATTAGATTACTTACAGTAACAAAATTAAGTTCTTTCATCACATCATCAATGATTCCTCGACGTCTAAGGGCTTTGATCAAATCTTCTGTTGATAAATGTTGTTGATCGGGTGCCAATTCTTCTCGTATAGTCTCAGCAAGGATTTCTCTTATCCTTCCATGGACATCCATCTATGTAGAAAACTTGCATTATAATTTACATTACAAAGTCAAATATTGCTTTTTATGTTTTAGGCTTCTTGTAACAGTAAACTTACAATTATTACCCCAACTGAATAAAAGTAACCTTTTAAAAGATGAAACTTTTGAGTATGAATTCTAGAAATAATCTCTACTGGTTCTCTGCTACCTCTGTTACAATTTCCCCACAAATAACACTCAAACAAAACAAATCTTTTGAGATAAAGTATAGTATAATTAGAACACAGACCTGGACTAGGCAGATCAATGATGTTATGTCTTTCATACTTTAATCTGTCTAATGATAAACTGATCAGCTTGCAACTTAGGTGTATCTGTAACCTTTAGCTAACTAATTTACTCTTTGTGAATGTTTCACCTGTAAGATGGAAAACCTAGTGCCCTCTCACAAGAGTGTCGTGAGGATTAGATGAAAGATGCTAGAAACCTAGAACAAAATCTGGCTTGCAAGTGCACCACACATGGTGGGTTTTATTACTTCAGCATATTGCATTCAGTTGAGGTCCTCACACACTCCGGGTTCTTGTAGTGCCCCCAAGTATTCCAAATAGTTTTGTTAAAAATCCTTCAGGAACTTATTTTCCATGACTTCTTTGTGAATTGCTGATTGAAGCTCCTGGTTCTACTTCTACAATACCCATATATTTCATTCTTAAAGTAACCCTAATATCTCACCTCAGGATATTAACCCGCTCCAAACACAACTGACACTCAATTAGACTTCCAGAAATCGCTCACTAAGCCCTTCGCTTTCAGTGTCCTATAACCAAAACCGTCCTATCACCTCAGACTCTTACTGGCACTCCTCGGCTTGTTCACTTTCATGGAGGCTAGAAAGCTCTTCTGGCTCCAAACTCGAAGTTCTGCCCACCTCGCGCTCTGCGTCCCACAGCCCTTGCTCGAGTCCTGGCAAAAAGGCGCCGCAGTCGGCTCGGCCGAGGGCTGCCCGGCTGGGGGCTCGGGCGCTGCGGGCAGGTAAGGCCCCGGCTCGGCCTGAAGCGGTCACTCCCCGCGCCCGGGCGGCTCTCACCTTGCTCAGCTGCTGATGGATGAGCTGCTTCAGTTCGGAGGCCTTCTCCGGAGGCAGAGACATGCTGGCAGCCAGCGCCTCCCAGCCGCTCCTCCCCGCCGCAGACGCCCTACCCGCGCGGCGCGCCCGGCCCGGCCAGGGAGCGTTAGTACCCGCTGAAGCACAAAGCGGCGCAGGCCCTCGCCTCGCGCAGCTCCCGGGGGGCGCGACGCCGCGTCAGACCCGGGGTCGGGCGGGAACCGAGGCCGCGGCGGCGGCCGTACTAACTGTTTTCAAACGGTGGCGGACTAACAGGGCTCAGGGCTGTCCTCCGCGCTGCCTGATCATCTCCGCCTCCGCTCCACCTTGTCACGAGCCCTGCACCCCGCGACCTCAACGCACCCCATTGCCTTGCCTTGCCGAAAACGCTACCGGTCCCCCTACTCACACACCTCCCGCGGCCTCTTTCTGCCCCCTGGACCGGCAGGTAGCTGGACAGGTCCTCAGGATCGGCCCTGAGGGATTCGAAGGACCCCGGCCGCCTCGCGCGAGGCCCCTGGGACTCCGGCGCGCGGACCTGGCTCCTAGTTCGGAAGCCCGCATTCCCGCGCCCCTCGCTCTTTCCAGGCTCGCTCTTATCCTCTTTCCCCCAACACCGCTGCGACCATGTTTGTTCCCTGCGGGGAGTCGGTCCCCGACCTTACGGGCTTCACCCTTCTGATGGTGAGTCTCCGCTGGAGCTTGGGACTGCTGCCTCCCGGGAGGCCTCTGCGGTGTCACCACCTTCACCCGGCGTGTGTCGCGGGGCCTTGGGAGAAAGAGGGCACTAGTTTCTGTTTCAGGTTCTCAGCCTGAAAAGATAGGAGGTTGTCTGTGGAGGTGGCGGTCCAAATAGAACCTTTGTTGGCGCTGTAATTAAAACATTCAAGTTTGCATTTGTAGTCTTTGTTGCCTGTAATATGTTAGTATAATTCCAGATTCATTATACATTGTTTAGGGCATCCTTAAATTTTATCCTAGAAGGTCTTTTTTCAACTTGTTTTAGAGTCAGTCTTAAGCTAGTACGTCATTATCCTTAACCAGAGAACTACTGATAGGGTGATAAAAAACTTTTGCCAGCAGCTGACACAGTTTTGTCGTTTTTCCATATGGCCTATATTAATTCATTGTTTTATCAACATTTTATTATATGCCAATATTAGAATAAGACTAGGTGCTTCTCATGGAGTTTACAGTCTAGTTGGAAACACATGTAAATCAATAAGGCCCTGAGATAATTGGGAGGGGAGGGACAGATGGGCCTGCTAAGAAAAACTTCATAGAGAAAGTAATTACTAAAAGAGGGAGGGGGGGTGAGATAGGGGTACCTGGGAGTAGGACATTTCGGAAAGATGCATGTCTAAAACAGGCACATAGGCATGGGGGATCTGGGGACTGCAAAGAATTTAAGATGACACATTGAGAGCATAAGCCGGAAGCCCTGTGCACCCAGAAGGCACCATTAGAGAATGCACTGTTTGAAGTGGCATAAGGCTGGAGAGAGACAGAACTATCATTCTTTTATTCACTAAATATCAAACATACAACCTCAAGAAGGAGGGAATGGACATCTTTCAAAAATAGCCAAGAGATGTGTAAGATGAAGAAAGTAGGTTAATGGTGATCATCTGGGCAAACAGTTACCAGTGGAGTGGTGAAGAGGGAAGCTGTATTGGAGCAGGTTGAATAAGTGGTAAAGAGGAGGTAGAGACCTATGTGTATATTCATTCATTAGCTCAGAAAGTTCCTGCTTATGTTTTAATGGACAACTCTTGGAGAATTTTGGCTATGTAGAAATACAAGAAGTGAGGTAGCAACTAGGGGACTAAGTGGGGTCAAGAAAGGGTTTTTAAAATGAAAGATATTAGAGCACGTTTACATGCTGATGGGAATAATCCAATAGCAAGGAAAAGAGGGATGATGCAGAAAAGTCTAACCCAAGAAGCAAAATCTTGGAGCAGGGAATTGCAGGAGTTAACTAGGGGATTGGTAGATGACAGCAGTGATAAGTGGGAGAATACTCTGAAGGCCAAAAAAGAAAAAACAATTGCTGAAGGAGCTACATTAAAGATCTACTTTGGAGATGTAATCAATAAAAATTAGTCATTAATTAGATACAGTTGATAAGGGAAAAAGAAGATTTCTGGTTTAGGTGATTGAGTGAATAATGTTGTTTTCTCTGAAATATAAAATATGAGGACAAGTTTGAGCAAAAATTTAGTTGTGTACAACTAAATGTTGAATGTGAGTTGCCTATGACCCAACCATATGGAGATATCCATTAGGCTCTGGAGCTCAGATTCGTGTTTTGGGCTGTAGGTAGAGATTTGGCAGTTTGGCTACTTAAAGTCATGGGGATAAGTATGTATGTTTACTATGAAAAGAAGGTCACTTGACCCATTGGGAATAGTTAGAGAAAGAGGCACTAACAAAGTGAATGGAAAGAAAACCCAGGAGTGCTTTTGTTTATACCTCACAGCATGCTTTTCCACTCCCTAGAGTATTCTTTTCCCAGATCTCTGTATGGCGCCTTCCTTTACCTCTTTCAGTCTATTATCATTTGTCACCTGAACAGGGTCTTAACTTGATCACCCTATTTAAAATTGCAACTAACCACATACACACACACACACACTCGCACTCAATTTTTCTCCATAGTGCTTACCAGTATATATTTTACTGTTTATTTTATTTATTCAGGTAAGCCATTCCCTCACTAGAATGGAAGCTTCACAAGGACACAAACTTTCATTGATGAGTTTCGCTGTATTCCCAGTGTCTACAGCAATGATTGACAATCATTCAATAGGTATTCAATAAGTATTTGTTAAAGGTGAAGGAGGCCCCAGTTGACATCTTGGTTATAGCTAATGAAAGTCAATAATCTACCTATGATGGACCTCATCATAAGCATTCAATACTAGTACTATGATTATTATCTTCTAAATTTTTTAAAGTGCTGCTAATTTTGGTGACTGATTGAATATATCTTTTTAAATTTCAGCCAGCAGTCTCTGTTGGAAATGTTGGCCAGCTTGCAATAGATCTGATTATTTCTACACTGAATATGTGTAAGATTGGTTACTTCTATACTGATTGTCTGGTGCCAATGGTTGGAAACAATCCATATGCGACTGCAGAAGCAAATTCCACAGAACTTAGTACAAATACTGAAGGTATGTAAAACACTAGCATGGTTCGGAGACAAGGTAGAGTTGTTTTTAAATTAAAAATATACTCTATTGGCCAGGCGCGGTGGCTCACGCCTGTAATCCTAGCACTCTGGGAGGCCGAGGCGGGGGATCGCTTAAGGTCAGGAGTTTGAAACCAGCCTGAGCAAGAGTGATACCCCATTTCTACTAAAAAAAAATATATAGAAAGAAATTAATTGGACAACTAAAAATATATAGAAAAAATTAGCCGGGCATGGTGGCACATACCTGTAATCCCAGCCACTCTGGGAGGCTGGGGCAGAAGGATTGCTTGAACCCAGGAGTTTGAGGTTGCTGTAAGCTAGGCTGACGCCACAGCACTCTAGCCCAGGCAACAGGGTGAGATTCTGTCTCAAAAAAAGAGAAATAAAATATATACATATATATATATGTATATGTATATATACACACACACTCTATGGATACTGGTTTTTACTAAATATTTACGTAGTGCCAGCTATGGGTAGAGTTCACAATCCAATCACATTGTCCTATTCTTTTACATCCTGATTTTACTTATTAGCATAGAGATTGAGTTGTGTGGCACAAGTAGGTATACACTTTTCCCATACCATAAATCTTCATAATTCCTCATTGGATTATCAGGCTTGATTAGTCAGGGAACGCAGTTTGCATTGCACTGACCACTGTTCGCTTATAATGCAAGACAGTACCAAGGGAGTAAAGGAAAAGCTCATATTGATCATGAAACACAGGAGTATCCAGTTACTTTTTTTGATTGACTGAGTACCCTATTGGCCTCTAAGCTTGCCATAATGAAGTGCATTTTGGAGAAATAAGTCTATTATTGAAATTCCTACAAGAAAGATTGCTTTGTTAATACAGACTAAATTTCTTTTCTTTTTTTTTTTTTTGAGACAGTGTCTCACTCTCTTGCCTGGGCTAGAGTGCTGTGGCGTCAGCCTAGCTCACAACAATCTCGAACTCCTGGGTCAAGGGATCCTCCTGCCTCAGCCCCCTGGATAGTTGGACTACAAGCATGCGCCACCATGCCTGGCTAATTTTTTTCTATTTTTAGTTGTTTGGCTAATTTCTTTCTATTTTTAGTAGAGACAGGGTCTTGCTCTTGCTTGGCTGGTCTTGGGCTCCTGAGCTCAAGCAATCCTCCCACCTCAGCCTCCTAGAGTGCTAGGCTTACAGGCTTGAGCCACTGCACCCAGCCAAGACTAAATTTCAGTTATTGCCTTAAAAGATAAAGAACTTATTGCTTTAAAAGATAAAGAACTATGAATGGTAAGACTAGAGTTCATATACTTACAACTATTCCATAAAGGAGGTTTATAGATAAGGAAACCATGGCACAGAGAAGATAACTAGGTTATTCAAGGTCATTTGGTTAATAATTGGTATAACCAAGATTCTAATCAAGGCAGCCTGGCTCCAGAGACCTACTTCTTGGCAATATGCCCCACTGCTAATGCACCTTCACTCAAGTAGAAGATCCACTGGCTTTCCTTTCACACAAACTGACAGCAAATCAATTGTATGGCTATAGTTCTTTAATCCACTTTTTTTTTAAGATTAAGTATTTTGAATTAAATTATGATCATGACATGCCACTCCCTAATATATAAATATGCATCTCCTAAGAGATTAAATTTTCTTACATAGTTAAAATAACATTACTGTAACAAAATTAATCATTTCTTAATCTCTTACTATACATTATCTATATTCAGATTAGCCCAGTTTATCCCCAAAATGTCATTTAAACTTAGTTTGTCCAAACCAGGACTCATAGCACGCCTGATTGTTGTGTCCTTGAAATCTCTTTTACTCTAGTCCCTATTTCCCCTTCATCACAAACCTGGTTCATTGAAAAAAATACTGGTCCCGTTGTCCTGTAGAATGTCTTGTTGCCTTCTGCATTTGTCTGATTACTTTCTCCTAGTCTCATTTGGTTTATTCCTCTAGCCCCTGTATTTTCTGTAACTAGAGTTAGGTCTAAAGGCTTGGTTAGATATATGGTAAATATTTTGGGGCAGAATACATAAAAGGTGATGTTGCCTTCATATTATATTATGCAAAAATTAAAAAGTACTATGAAACAGGAACCTAACCCTTTGCACTCAGATGTCGAGTGTGACTCAACACAGTTAGCAAAAATTTTATAGAGATTAACATTACTCTTTGAATGTATCAATAATTTGAAATATAAAAATATCCAAATAAATTTGTATGAAAAGAAACTCCAGTTTTTTATTCTACTGCCACGCTTTGTAAAATCTGGGGTATTTAAAAAATTAAATCCTGAGTAGAATAAAGGAATCGAGAAAAAAGCAAGTGAGTGCAAAGGGTTAACAACAATAATTGTATGATACACTGATGGAAAATACTCCTATTATTGAAGATGGTATATCTTATATTTTAAAGCTTAGCCTGCCCACCCCCTATAGATAAATTCTTTTCACACCTAGGTCTGTTGAATTGGACTGTATATGTCAAAGATATATTAAATTCCTGACTGAGTAGCCTATGCCTTAGTCCCTTTTCCCTAAATGTATACCCTTCTCCTTAATTTCTAAACTTCCTTTGGCCCCAATATACCTGGTGCTCACTAGACTTGCTGAGTTCAACATAGCCCTCTCTCATGCCATGTCACACCAGCCAGAAGCAGACAGTCTCCGAAAGACTTGCCCAGTCCAGGGTTATTTATAATCTAGTGACCAAAAGCTTACTCCTTAGCATAGTGGCCTAATCCTGTGTCCTTAGAGACTCTATTTTGTCCTTGGTTTATACAAGGGCTTCTCATTCTTAGAAGTGAAGTTGGGCAGGGAAACCTTAAGTATCTCTAGAGTGGGCCCCTGTGGAATCTGTTGAAGGCTATATAGATCCTTTTCCCAGAAAAAATGTACACATTGCCTCACAGGAAACGTACATGTTATTTTAGGTCTTTCAAAAAAATCTTAACACAAATGTACCTATTTTGGAGATTTTATTACATGGCTAACATTCTCTTATATTGTGCTATTTCTTCTGTTAATGCCAATGACTTTTGCTGTTGTCTAGAGAGAAGAGGAGAGAATATCAGAAACCAAAAGTTTACCTTTCTTAAGGATGGTTTGTTGTTTTTTTTTTTGAAACAGAGTCTTGCTCTGTTGCCCAGGCTAGAGTGCTGGAGCGTCAGCCTCACTCACAGCAGCCTAAAACTCCTGAGCTCAAGCAATCCTCCTGCCTCAGCCTCCCAAGTAGCTGGGACTACAGGCATGCACCACCATGCCCGGCTAATTTTTTTTTTCTATATATTTTTAGTTGGCCAATTAATTTTTTTTTTTTTTTTTTTTTTTTTTTTGAGACAGAGTCTCGCTTTGTTGCCCAGGCTAGAGTGAGTGCCATGGCGTCAGCCTCGCTCACAGCAACCTCAAACTCCCCAAGTAGCTGGGACTACAGGCATGCGCCACCATGCCCGGCTAATTTTTTCTATATATATTAGTTGGCCAATTAATTTCTTTGTATTTATAGTAGAGACGGGGGTCTCTGTCTTGCTCAGGCTGGTTTCGAACTCCTGACCTCGAGCAATCTGTTCACCTCAGCCTCCCAGAGTGCTAGGATTACAGGCGTGAGCGACCGCATCCGGCAGTTTCTATTTTTGATCTCACTCTTGCTCAGGCTAGTTTCAATTTCCTGACCTTGAGCGATCCGCCCGCCTCAGCCTCCCAGAGTAAATTAAAGTCAGAAGAAAAATAATTTTTGATATTTTCTTATAGTTAACTATTCAGAAATGAATCTATTGCATAGAATAAAGCCCACTGGCACATTTTAAGGTACTTCCAAAATGTTTTATTTTAATCAAATGATACAGTATATATGTTCTCTATTTTAATTATTGAAAATATTTAGCTACAAAAGATATTATTTGACTTTTAATTTTTATTATATTAATTTCAACTTGTATAACCCTTTCATTTTTGACTGTCATATGATTTCATTTTCTTGTCTTCGTAGTATATTCATTGCCTTCAAGAAAGCTAGTGGCTCTTCAATTAAGATCCCTTTTTATTAAGGTTAGTATGTTATATTTGCCTTTTTACATTTATTAAAATAAAATGAAATGAGAAAATACCAAGTTAGTATAATTAAGAATTAAGACTTCAAAATTATTTCTGTTTTTACTGTACGAATAGTTAAGATCTGATTCTATATAGAAATAATCTCATAGCAGATGTTTTACCATCATTTAATGATTTTATAGAAAGGAATTGGGACTTCTAGCTTAGATCTTATGTATTCTCAATTCAGATAGTGAAAATACTAATTTCAGTGTATATAAATTACATATCATTAGCACATCAAGTGATAAAATATCATATAGAATATTCTTATACTCTAAGACTAACTTTAGATTTTCTTTTTATTCCTTTAATGGTATACAAAGTATAAATCAAAGCCATTCTGTGAAAAACTACTTTCCTGGGTGAGAAGTAGTAACTTTACAAGAGTTATTATTCTTTCAAGCAGTCATTCATATCACCGTAATGATCTACAGCTTCGTAGGTATGTTCTTGTCTTTGAAAAAGTATTTTTATTATGGTTTATACTATGACAATTTCTCTATTGAAAAGTTAAAAAAAAAAGTTAAAAGCTAAGCTATGTGTATCCTTATCTCTCCTCACTGGAATTTAGAAAGAGGAAAGTAAAAGGAGATGGGAGGGAGTACAGTTAGGTACATCCTTTTAGTTCCTCTGAGGTTAGTACAGTTGGGACATGAGGAAGGCTTTTGTGTAAAGAAAGAGACAGTTTTGGAACCATGCTTTTAGTGTTTGCTGTCATATGCATGGAGCTCAGCTGATTAAGTGAAAAAAGAGAAAGGGTCCCCAAGATTTATTGGTTGATAACTTTTGAAAGATTAAATTGATGTTTCTATTTATTGTTACATATGCAACCATTTGTATTTGTAGCAATCCAGTTAACTTTAAGTTGTGCTCCCTGGCATGTCAGAGTGAATTCTTAAATATGAGACAAAGTGGGGGTATAGCTCAGAGGTAAAAAATAAAATAAAATAAAACAAAACAAGTATCCCAGAAATAGAAATATAAACTATCATCACATAAAGTTGATTAAATACTATATAGAATACTCTGATATTCTAAGATAAATAATTTTAGATCATTTAGAGTATAACTTTTATACACCTATAAAATCAGGATGACAAAATAATAAGACAAGAGTTACCCTTCAAAACTGGAGCTAATTTTTAGCACTCACTGTAGGCATTAACAGGCCTCATAACAGAAGGGAGCATATCTGTGGGAAATAGGTTTATCTTCACAATGACCTTGCCTTAGTTTAAGTTTTTACTTTTCCTGTCTCTTTACACTCTTTCTTAAGTGTGTAAATACCAAACTGGAGCAATATTTTTTACATAAGTCTGCTGAAACTTGTACTTTGCCTTCTGGCAAAATTTCTAGCACTCACAATAGACATTATAGGCCTCATAGCAGAAGGAATATGTGGAGAACAAGATAGTTTTAGCTGAAAGAACTTGCCTTAGTGTTTGTATTTGTGAGTTTTTAAAAAGTTACTTATGTGATTTTTTTCTAGTACTCCCTTCCGGTACCTATTTACACCTTCCATGCAAAAAAGTGTTCAAAATAAAATAAAGAGTCTTAACTGGGAAGAAATGGAGAAAAGCCCATGCATTCCTGAAATAAATGACTCTGAGTTTTGTATCCGTATTCCAGGAGGAGGTATCACAAAAGCACTCTATGATGAAAGGTGAGGTTGTTTGCCTATTTGTTTATTTCATACTTTAAGAATGAAATTAAGACAATTGGGAGAGGGTAGTAGATTACTTATTGGAACTTTGAAAATGTGTTTATAAAACAGGCACTATATTAGAGATCTTGCATTTAAGGAAAAGATTTAAATTTGGCTATAGACGAATTGGTTCCTAAAAAGCTGTATTTAATGCTTTCTTATGTGTGACATAGGGATCTTCTTCTACAAGAACACTTGTTAAAACCTATGATAAATGTAGATAATATAAAATTTACCATTTTAACTATCTTTAATTGTACAATTAAGTGGCAATAAGTACATTCACAGTGTGTGTATGCATCCCCACTGTCTACTTCTATTTTTTTCGTTTTTTTTCCCCAATGTCTACTTGTAGAACTTTGTCATCATCCTATTTAAAAAATCTGTACCCATAAATAAAAACTCTCCATTTTATTTCTGTAAGATTGGTAATAATGTTCCCACTTCGTTTCTCATTTTAATAATTTGAGCCTTCTCTCTTTTTTAGTCAATCTAGCTAAAAATTTGTCAATTTTGTTAATCTTTTTGAAGAACCAAATTTTAATTTCACTGATTTTTCTCTGTTGTTTTTCTATTCTTTATTTTATTTATCTCTGCTCTAATCTTTATTTTCTTCCTTTTGCTAGCTTTGGGTTTAGTTTGCTCCTTTTTTTCCTCTTTCCTAAGGTGTAAGACTTAGGTATTGATTTGAAAAGTTTATTTTTATTTTTTTTTTTAGTGTATTATGGGGTTACAAGCGTTAAGGTTACATGTTGCCCATGCCCCCTCCTCTTGAGTAAGAGCTTCAAATGTGTCCATCCCCCAAACTATTGTTTTTTATTATATGCATTTACAGCTGTAAATTTCCCATTTAGTATAGTTTTCACAGCATGCCATAGTTTGCATATGTTTTCATTTTCATTCATCTCTAAGTATTTTAAATTTCTCTTGTGATTTCTTCCTTGACTCATTGGTTGTTTGAGAATGTGTTGTTTATTTTCCAGATATTTGTAAATGTTCCAGTTTTCCTTCTGTTATTGGCTTACAGCTTCATCCATTGTGATCAAAAAAGATACTTTGTATTATTTCAATCTTTTTAATTTATCAAGACTTGTTTTGTGGCTTAATATATGGTCTGTGCTGGAGACTGTTTCATGTGTACTTGAGAAAAATTCTGCTGTTGAGTAGAATGTTCTATATGTGTCTGTTAGGTCTAATTGTTTTATAATGTTCAAGTCTTCTGTTTCCTTATTACTCTGTCTGGTTGTTCTATCCATTATTTATTTATTTTTTATCTTTTTTCTTCCTTTTTCTTTTTTCTATCTGTTATTGAACATGGGATATTAAAGTTTTCAACTATTATTATAGAACTGTGTTTTTCTCCCTTCAATTATATCAGTGTTTGCTTTGTATATTTTGGGGCTCTGTTATTTTGTACACATTTGTATTTGTTATATTTTCTTGATGAACTGATGCTGCATCAATATATAATGTTCTTCTTTGTGTCTGATAGCAGTTTTTGACTTAACAGTCTATTTTGTCTAATACTATTATGGCCACCCCTGTCTCTTTTGATTACTTTGTGCATGGAATATCTTTTTCCATCTTTTTCACTTTCAATCTGTGAGTGTATCCTTAGGTCTAAAGTGAATCTTCTAGGCAGCATATGGTTATATCATTTTTTAATCCATTCTACCAATCTCTCCTTTTTTATTATAGTTTAATCCATTTACATTAAAAGTAATTACTGATAAGGAAGGACTTCTGCCATTTTGCTGTTTGTTATCTGTGTCTTACAGGCTGCTTTTGTTCTTTATTTCCACCATTACTGCCCTTTGTGTGTTTAGTTGATGTTTCATAATGACACTCTTTTATTCTCTTCTCATTTTCTTTTGTGTATTTTCTATACTGTCTCGTAGTTACTATGGTGATTACATATAACATCTCAAAGTTATAATAAACTTAAGTTCAATTGTATACAAAACCTCTACTTATATATAGCACTGTCCTTCCACTCTTGTATTGTCACAAATTACATCTTTTATACATTACATGTCCAGTGACATAGGTTTATAATTATTTTTTGTACATTTGTTTTTAAATCCTCTACAATTATTCTTTATTTTGAGACAGGGTCTCACTTCAGTGCCCAGGCTAGAGTGCAGTGTCATCATTGCTCACTGCAATCTCCAACTCCTGGGCTCAAGCAATACTGCTGCCTCAACCTCCTGAGACGAGTGGGTAGGACTACAGGTGTGTTCCACCTGGCTAATTTTTCTATTTTTTGTAAAGATGAGGTCTTGCTATGTTTCCCAGGCTGGTCTAGAATTCCTGGCCTCAAGCAAACCTCCCAACTCAGCCTCCCAAAGTGTGAACTACCATGTCTGGCCTACAGTCACTCTTTTTTTTGTTGTTTTTGAGACAGAGTTTCACTGTGTTGCCCAGACTAGAATGCTGTGGTGTCAGCCTAGCTCACAACAACCTCAAACTCCTAGGCTTAAGCAATTCTACTGCCTCAGCCTCCCAAGTAGCTGGGACTATAGGCATGCACCGCCATGCCCGGCTAATTTTTTCTGTATATTTTTGGTTGGCCAATTAATTTCTTTCTATTTTTAGTAGAGATGGGGTCTCCTCTCGCTCAGGCTGTTTTCAAACTCCTGATCTTGAGCGATCTGTCCGCCTCGGCCTCTCAGAGTGCTAGGATTACAGGCGGGAGCCACCACACCTGGCCCCTGTAGTCACTCTTAATTAGTCTTTAGGAATCATGAACATTAAGAAGGCAAATGAAAGTGAAGATAGAAACTAGAAAAAGATCTTGTTTTTCTTTAGCCCTTGTTTTGATACATTGATGTTTATGTCCACACTCAGTCTGCCATTCTATTTTTAGACACACTATCCTTGTTTTGCCTGCCTTATCCCTTTGCCTCCTACTTCACAAGACCCAAATCTAACTTAGAGGCTAACCAGTAGGTCTTGATGTATGCTTTAACTTCCTCTGACTCTTCCTTGCTGGGGATTGATGTGCCTGATGAGTTTGTGGGAAATAGAGCCAATGACTATGAAAGGAGGAGGACAGCTTTTTAGAAGGTGGCTTCTGCTGCTTCTCAAACCCATATGTTCTACTCTTCACTCTCCTGTGGAGAGATGAATGGTGGCATTCCTCTGGTCCCTTCAGTAGTGGGCTTCAAGAGTTGAGCAGGGCGAGGCCTAGAAAAATATGTCCCCAATACCATTGCTCAGAGTCAATTGGTAGGTCTGTGTCCTCATCATGATACATTTCAGGAGTATAAATCTAGTATTGCAAAATAGAACCACTGCTTTGCTTGCTCTGAAATCTATATTGTGACTTACACATGACCTGAAGAAGTTATAGTAGTAGTAACAGGGGTATAAGTAGTAGTAATAGCAATAGCAGCAAACTATGTACCTGATGGTGTTCTGTGTACCTTACATGTATTAACTCATATGATTCTCATAGTAAACATGTAGATATAACTACATGTAATAAATAAGAAAATTGAAGAGCAGCAAGATAATTTGCTAAAATATAGGAAGCTGGGTGCAGTGGTTCGTGCCTGTTGTCCCAGCTACTCAGGAGGCTAAGGCGAGAGGATCATGTGAGCCCAGGAGTGTGAGGCCAGTCTAAGCAACATAATGTGACCCATCTCTTAAAAAAAAATAAAAGTGATTCAGGTAGTAAGTGCCAGAGCCAGGATTCGAACACAGGCCTCTGGCTTCAAATCCTGTACTTCTAATCACTTTGCTATAGGGTGTAATACTCATGGTCTAAGAGCACAGTGAACTTTATTCTTTGTCTAAAAGTTGAACCTCTCCATGCCAAGTGAAGGCAAACTTAAAAAATAAAGTTGAACCCCTTTCTTGTATTTATACCCCTGCTTTCTTTTTTAAAAATAGTTAAGACTTCTATGCCAGAAATGATATATGCATCTCAACTTGTTTTCGCAGTACAGCTTGTTTTGTCCATCTCTGGCCATCTTTGTGTATCATTCCAGCTTTTATCTTTTTCCCTAAGAACCTACTCTATTCTTATTTAAAATGACCATTTCCTTCAACTTTTCTTTTTTTCCTAGTCCATCACACATTCAAGTTTTTGGTGTTTTTTTGGGACTGGGTCTCACTCTGTCACCCAGGCTGGAGTACAGTGACTTGAGTTCATTGTAGCCTGGAACTCTTGGGCTAAAGCCATCCTCAGCCTCCCAAAGTGCTGGGATTATGAGCATGAGCCACTAGACATTCAGGTTTTTACTTCTTCTCCTGTCTTGCTTATTTCCCATAAAAGACTCTACCACTTCAAACATTCCCTTACCAGGACCTAAAAGCCCTGGCTACCTAATCATTCTCTGTACCTGCCCTGCAAACCACCAGCTTTCAATTATAGACTGTTGTATTAGCTCAGGGTACGATGAAAAGATACTATAGACTGGGTGGCTTAAACAGCAGAAATTTATTTTCTCTAAGTTCTTGAGACTGGAAGTCCAAGACCAGTGCTGGCATTGTCGAGTGAAGACCCTCTTCCTGGCTTGCAGACGGCTGGCTGCCTTGATGTGTGTTCACAGCTAAGATTTCCCTCTTTCTCTTATAAGGCCACAATCTTATTGGATTAGGGCCCCACCCCACGATCTCATTAACCTTAATTACCTCCTAAAGACCCTATCTTCAGATACAATCACAACATATAAGTTTGGGTGGACACGAAGACCTAGGTTCAAATCCCACCCCTGCCACTTACAAGATAATAGAACTTTGAGCACATTAACTATGTTTTTAAACTCTTTAAACTTGTTTCATCATAATAATAACTATTAATAACACTCCCATTATATGCATTGTTCACTGTTTTAAGCAATTTTCCTCTATCACCTCCTTTAAACTTCACAACCACCTCTGAGGTAGGCTCTATTATTATGCCTCTCTTATAGATGAGGAATGCTAGAGCCCTGTTAAGTAACTTGCCCAAGATGTCTGGTAAGTGGGAAAGGTAGAATTTGAATCTTAGGGTTCTGTCCTTATTCCCATTATTCTAAACTAATTAATAAAATGGAGATAATGATAGCTTCCTTGGAATTGTTATAAGGATTGAATCATAAAATTTGCACATAAGCACATAATAATCACTTCATTAAAATGGTATCTGTAAGAACCAATAGTAAGTTTTCTTTCCTTTATTCCATCCTCTTCTGCAGTTTTCCTTCACTGCTGTAGATTATTAATAACCTGGGTGTTATTTTCTTTCTGTCTCTTTACTGTGGTGCTTCTAAAACTCACTCTCTTCTAACGTAGATTTTGGGAGTAGGTCAAACATATCTCATTTGCTATATCCAAGGACAGAGAGAATGGTTTTTCATGTAGCCTTGGGGTAAGGCATGAACTTGCATCTTCCCCAGGTGGGTGTTACATAGCTCCTAATCCTGTTCCCACAAATAAAAGAATATTCGTGAGGCAAAGGGAGATGAGCAAGTGATCTTATGATGTGGTATATTTTCCTTTCCTAAAACCTGGCAGGTTAACTTAGCTATAAAGACAGACATGCTAGAGTCAGCATCTTTTATCAGTGGAAAAATACTAAATTATTCTCTTTATTTCCTGTAGCTGTTCTAAAGAAATCCAAATGGCAGTTCTGCTGAAATTTGTTTCAGAAGGGGACAATATCCCAGATGCATTAGGTCTTGTTGAGTATCTTAATGAATGGCTTCAAATAATCAAACCATGTGTAAGTTTTACTACAGCTTAAGCCTCTTTCTTGTCTGGTTATGTAGTCATTAACTTGCATTTCATATACTATGTAAGTAGACCATATAGGTGAAATGTTATATTAAATATAGACACATCTTTACATAAAATTTTGTTTAAGTGAAACTTTTAAAAATAAGAGAAGGCAGTTGTTTCACTAAAGCTGATTTTCCAAAAAGGAAAATCCTAATTCTTCATTGTTTTCATTGTTCATGTTACATTAATTATGCCAGACAGATTCTTATAAAAATAAACAAGTCTTTGGAATTCAGGATTTTTTTTAGAGAAGCAAAAATTCAGTATGTATTATAATTAAGACACGTTTCTGTATTATGAAACGAGAGCATTGCACCCGGGGAAATGAGTCAGACTTTAGGCATGACAGAGGCACCAAAGTCTACAATATATGATGAGTGGTAACTATCTCTTTTTTTTGAGACAATAGTCTCTGTTGCCCGGGCTAGAGGGCCGTGGCGTCAGCCTAGCTCACAGCAACCTCAAACTCCTGGGCTCAAGCAATCCTACTGCCTCAGCCTCCCAAGTAGCTGGGACTGTAGGCATGTGCCACCATGCCTGGCTAATTTTTTCTATATATTTTTAATTGGCCAATTAATTTCTTTCTATGTTTAATAGAGACGGGGTCTCGCTCTTGCTCAAGCTGGTTTCAAACCCCTGACCTTGAGCGATCCTCCCGCCTCGGCCTCCCAGAGTGCTAGGATTACAGGCATGAGCCACCGTGCCCAGCCTCGTAACTATCTTTTTAATTCATGTTTTTGGCAAGAAAAAAATTGATACAAATCAGATGACTCTCATTTTTTTAAACCCCATATTCTTTTAAATTTGATTTTACTTAATAGACTCCATCTGCAGCCTTTCTTGGCATATCTTTATGATTTGGAACTTGAACAAATTTATCTTCAGTTGACATGAAGACATAGAAACTTACTACTTTATTTTTCCTTAAAGTAAAACTTGACAAAAAGTGTCAGAGAACCATAATATACATTAGAAGGGGATTTGATGATAAAATTGAAAGATTAAATGTTATGTTCTTCACTTACAGAGTGATGATCCCACAGCATCTACCTTGAGGTGGAAAATACCAAGTTCTTGGAGATTACTCTTTGGCAGTGGTCTTCCCCCTGCACTTTTTTGATGTGTTTTCAGTTTTTGTACCTTATATCCCAAGACACTTATTATCAACACAACTGCTAAACATTCTGTACAAAAATTTGTATAATATGAGAATATATTAGGAAATAAACATTTGCTTTTCACGGAAAATCTCAAAAAAAAGGATTAACACAAGCTGTTTTTGCCATGCTTTTCATCATATACAACAAATGTAAATTTTGTACAATAAAATTTTATTTCCCAAGTAATTTTGTCTTAAATAATATCCTCTTTTAAAAGCTCAAACTCTAATTAGTTTCCTATTTCTGCTGTCATAAATCACAACAAACTTAGTGGCTTAAAACAACAAAAATTTATTTTTACTTACAGGTATAAAAGTCAAAACTCCAAAAATGTGTCTTACTAGGCTAACATCAAGGTGACGGGAGGGCTGTGTTCCTTCTGAAGGCCCTAGGGGAGAATCTGTTTCCTGCCCATTTCAAGCTTCTGGGGCTGCCATGTTCTTTGACTCATGGTGGCTTCTTCCATCTTCAAAGCCAGCAGCCCAGCATCGTCAAATGTCCCTCTCTCTTTCACTTATAAGGACCCTTGTGATTACATTGGGCCCATCACAATAATCTAGGATAATTTCATCATCTCAAAAGGATTTTAGTATAAAAGAAATAATAAAAAATAGTTTTCATTTTTGAGTGCCTACACTGTATGTACCAGTCACTTTACGCATAATCTTGCTCCTGCAGCACCTGATAACCTGCAATACTGCAGACAGACACCAGAGGGAGCAAGAGATTACAAGCTGAAAAACCAGCAAAACTCTCTAATTGGGAAATTACATACACCAGCCAGAGAAGTTAAATCTTCCAAAAAACATTTAACAGGATTCCAAAATCTCTACCCAGGCTGGTTGCTGAAAGTTTTCCCTATACAAAGCCAGTATGTAAAGATTGGGAGAGGTGGCTGTTTTATTAAATGCATAAAACAGCAAAAATCACAAAGTAAATGAAGAAATAGAAACATAGCCTAGTCAAAGGAACAAATTAAATCTCCAGAAACCAACCCCTAGGAAACAGAGATCTATTAGTTTCCTGACAAAAAATTCAAAAAATTGTCTTAAACACAAACTCAGTGATCGACAAGAGAATACAGACAACTAAACAAAACCAGAAAAACAATGTATGACAAAATGAGACTATCAGCAAAGAGAAACAAACTATAAAAAAGAACCAAATAATTTTGGAACTGAAGAATGTAATAGCTGAATGGAAAAATTCACTAGAGGGGTTACAACAGACTTGATCAAGCAGAAAAGAAAATTAGCAAACTTGAAGATGGGTCATTTGAAATTGAGTCAGAGGAACAACCACCAAAACAAAAAATAAAAAGGAATGAAAAATGAAGAAAACCTGAGGGACTAATGGGTCACCATCAAGTGGACCAATATGTGCATTATGGAAGTTCTTTTTTTTTTTTTTTTTTCATTGCTTTCCATCCTAGATTGTCCTAATTATGGAAGTTCTAAAAGGAGAAGAAAGCTTATTTAAAGATAATGGCAAAACATTCCAAATCTAAGGAAGAAAATGGATATTCAAATTTCAGAAGCTCAAAGGACTCCAAATAGAATGAACCTAAGAAATAACCAAGAACATAATCAAATTGTCAGTAGTCAAAGACAGAGAAACTTGAAAGCAATAAAAGAAAACTGACTTGTCACACACATACAAGGGCAGGCACTTCCCTAAATTATCAGATTTCTTGGTGGAAACCTTACATGGCAGAAGAGAGTGGGACAATATATTCTAAGTGGTGACAGAGTAAAGTTGCCAATCAAGAGTGCCATTCAGCAAAACTGTCCTTCGAATTGAAAGAGGAATAAAGAATTTCCCAGAGAGGTAAAAGCTAAGGGAGTCCATCACCACTAGAAGTGGCTAACAAGAAATGCTAAATTGAATCCTGCAGGTTGAAATGAAAGGATGACAGACTGCAACATGAAAGTATACAAAAATATAGAGTTTGATAGTAATAGTAAATACAGATAAATACAGAATCCTTTAGTACTATAATGATGGTGCATCAAGCATATTTAATTCTAATGTAGAATTTAAAAGAAAAACATAAAAATACCTATAACTATAAAAATATGTTAAATATCTTGATGGATACAAACCATATAAAGATGTAATTTGCTTATTTTTTTTTATTTTTTTTTTTGAGACAGTCTCACTCTGTTGCCTGGGTTAGAGTACCATGGCATCAGCATAGCTCACAGCAACTTCAAACTCCTAGGCTCAAGCGATCCTCCTGCCTCAGCCTCCCAAGTAGCTGGGACTACAGGCATGCACCACCATGCCAGCTAATTTTTTCTATATATTTTTAGTTGGCCAATTAATTTGTATATTTTAATAGAGACGGGGGTCTCACTCTTGCTCAGGCTGGTTTTGAACTCCTGACCTTCAGCGATCTGCACGCCTTGGCCTCCCAAAGTGCTAGGATTACAAGCATGAGCCACCACGCCCAGCCAAAGATGTAATTTGTGACATCAATAATGTAAAAGTAGAGTTGTTAAATGAGTTCTTGTATACAGTTGAAGTTGTCAGCTTAAAATAGATTGTTACATGAGATGTTTTATGTAAGCCCTAGGGCAGGCATCCTCAAACTACGGCCTGCGGGCCACATGCGGGTGTTTTTGCCCGTTTGTTTTTTTACTTCAAAATAGGATATGTGCAGTGTGCATAGGAATTTGTTTATAGTTTTTTTAAAACTATAGTCCGGCCCTCCAACGGTCTGAGGGACAGTGAACTGGCCCCCTGTTTAAAAAGTTTGAGGACCCCTGCCCTAGAGTAACCAAAAAGAAAACTCTATTAATATACTCTTTCAAAATTGAAGTCAGTCCTCTCAAATGCCACCATTGCTTTATGAGCTAAGTTTATGGAATATTCTAAATCCTTTGTTGTCATTTCAACACTGTCCACAGCATCTTCACCAGGAGTAGTTTTCATCTCAAAAACCCACCTTTGGCCGGGCGCTGTGGCTCACGCCTGTAATCCTAGCTCTTGGGAGGCCAAGGTGGGCGGATTGCTCAAGGTCAGGAGTTCAAAACCAGCCTGAGCAAGAGCGAGACCCGTCTCTACTATAAATAGAAATAATAATTATTGGCCAACATGATATATATATAAAAAATTAGCCGGCATGGGTGGCGCATGCCTGTAGTCCCAGCTACTCGGGAGGCTGAGGCAGGAGGATCGCTTGAGCCCAGGAGTTTGAGGTTGCTGTGAGCTAGGCTGACGCCACGGCACTCACTCTAGCCTGGACAACAAAGTGAGACTCTGTCTCAAAAAAAAAAAAACAAAAAAAAAACCCCACCTTTGTTCATCCATAAGAAGCTACCCCTCATCCATTCAAGTTTTATCATGATTTTTGCATCAATTCAGTCACCTCAGCCTCCACCTCTAGTTCTAGATCTCTTGCTATTTCCACCCTTCCTCCACTGAAGTCTTGAACCCTTCAAAGTCATCCATGAGGATGGGAGTCAACTTCTTCCAAACTCCTGTTAATGTGGATATCTTGACCTCCCATGAATCACTGATGTTCTTTTTTCTTTTTTGAAAAATTCCAGAATATGGGGGTACAAACATTTTGGCTACATATATTGCCTTTGCATCGCTCAAGCCAGAGCTACAAGAGTGCCCATTCCCCAGACAGTGCACTCTGCACCCATTGGTTATGAATTTACCCATCCCCTCCACACCCCTCCCACCTGCCTGGCACTCGATGAATTATTTCCATGTGAGCACCTAAGTGTTGCTCAGTTAGTACCAATTTGATGGTGAGTACATGTGTTGCTTGTTTTTCCATTCTTGTGATACTTCACTCTGAAGAATGGGCTCTAGCTCCATCCAGGATAACATGAGAGGTGCTAGTTCACCATTGTTTTTTATGGCTGAGTAGTACTCCATGGTATCCATATACCACATTTTATTAATCCACTCATGGGCACTTGGGTTGTTTCCACAGCTTTGCAATTGAATCATCAATGTTCTTAATGGCTTCCAGAGTGGTGAATCCTTTCCAGGTTTTCAATTGAGTTTGCCCAGATCCATCAGATAAATCACTATCTATGACAGCTATTAATATAACCTTATAAAATATATTTCTGAAATAATAAGACTTGAAAGTCAGAATTACTCCTTGATCCATGGGCTGCAGACTAGATGTGTTAACAGGCATGAAAACAGCATTTATTTCTTTGTTCATCTCCATCAGAGTTCTTGGATGACCAGGTGCATTGTCAACGAGCAGTAATGTTTTGAAGGGAATCTTTATTTCTGAGTCATTAAAACACATTACGTTCACCATCTTACGTGGGTGTGGTTTATGATGCCCCAGAACAATTAGAATACTAACACCAAAGATCACTTATCACAGAACACCATAACAGATAATAATGAAAGAGTTGGAAATATTGTGAGAATTACCAAAACATGACACAGAGATACAAAGTGAGCACGTGCTGTTAGAAAAATCATGCCAATAGACTTGCTTGGCACAAAGTTGCCATAAACCTTCAATTTGTAAAAAAAACATTTTTCAAACACAAAGTGCAATAAAACGAGTTGTGCCTTTACTAGCAAATCATATTCAATAGCACATTCAAAGGATTGTACACCATAACCAAGTGGAATTTATCTGTAGGATGCAAGGATGTTTCAACATATGAAAAATAATAAATGAAATATACCAGGCCGGGCGTGGTGGCTCACGCCTGTAATCCTAGCCAAGGCGGGCGGATTGCTCAAGGTCAGGAGTTCGAAACCAGCCTGAGCAAGAGTGAGACCTCGTCTCTACTAAAAATAGAAAGAAATTAATTGGCCAACTAAAAATATATAGAAAAAATTAGCCGGGCATGGTGGTGCATGCCTGTAGTCCCAGCTACTCGGGAGGCTGAGGCAACAGGATTGCTTGAGCCCAGGAGTTTGAGGTTGCTGTGAGCTCAGCTGATGCCACGGCACTCACTCTAGCCTGGGCAACAGAGTGAGACCTTCTCCCCCTGCCAAAAAAAAAATTAGAATGGGAATAATAAAATATTGTCTGTTAGCAGAGGACATGATCTTATACATAGAAAACCCAAAGGATTCCACAAACAGTTAAAACATAACTGAATTCAGCAAAGTTGCTGAACACAAAACCAGCACTCAAACATCAGTTGTGCTTTTATACAATAAATAATTCAAAAAGAAAATTAAGAAAACAA